TTCATCAATTCCCAACTCACGTTATAGTTTAGACTTCACCTCTCTTTATTTCTTTTTTCTCTTTTTTCTCTGCCTTCTCTTTAGGCCACTAACCACTTGACATCAAGGGGGCTTCCACCGACGTCCCTCCGACGATTGATGGCAGCCCTCCACCCCTCCGAGTTCTTCCTTTTCTCCTTGCTCTTTCTTATTTGCTTCTTCCCCTTCCTTTTTTCCCGTGTTTGCTTTTGTTTGGTTGTGGTTTCTGCTCTTTTATGGGCTCTTTACTTTCCCATTTTTGGGTGCTTTCTTGTCCCGTTTCTAGGTTCTTTTCACCCCCCCCCCCCCCTCCTCGGTGGGATGTGCTTTTGGCCTCTGACCTGTTTGTTTCAGATCTAGAGATGGTAACTGATCTAAGATGTGAAAGGGGTTGGATCTGATGTAGATCTGGCTTGTTTATTTCTCATCTATCCCTTGTCTACCACCTTGTCACTCTTTGCATGTCATGGGGTTTCGTAGATGCAGCACTATGGCGTCGGACTCGGCTAGATGAGCTTGAAGACAAAAGTGCTCTTTCTTTTGTTTCTTTCACCGACCGGTCGTCTCTGTTGTCGTCTCTTTGCGGTTTCGTTGGGAGGTGGATAGTGATTGGACCGGGGTGGGCTCGCTCCTCCATCCGGGATGGTGGAAGATGGTTCCTCTGCTTGGTGCATGGCAACATGACTGGTGGGAAGTGGCACTGCAAGTGTGTCAAAGCGGCGGTGCTGGTCTTCGCTGTGGTGGTGGAGGATTCCAAAAGGGGTAGATTTCGACTAGGGTTTGAAGACTGAATCTTGTTGCTTGGGCTTTGGGTCTGGGCCCTATTGGATTCTAGACCTGGTTTGTTGGAGGTTTGTTGGTTTGGTTTTCAAATTCGGTTGTAATCTGCTTGTACTTTTCCATTTTAGTTTTGGCACGTTCGGATTCTTAATGAATTGCTACTTCAAAAAAAAAAATCCTCCCCTTTTCTTCTAAAATTTTGTTACGTTTCTCTCTCCCCTTTTCTTCCTAATTTTGAAATATAAGAAATAAACAAAAACAATAAAATAAAAATAAATGAAAACCACCTAGTGACATGTTCTCTCTCTAAAAACACAACAACGTATTTTTCTATATTATCTACCCACCATAGTCACAAACTGGCAAGAAAAACCTACTTACCAAATAAAATAAAAAATGACACAATGACATCCACCATGTCAGAAACAAACACCCAAAAAATGCAGTTAGTAAACAATTAGGCACCCTATTAAATACCTACTAAATAAAATGACATCCTAGCTAATAAAATAAAATGACATCTAACGTAGCTAGGAAACAATTTATTCGCATTCAAAGGAGGCAAAAGCCTAGAACAGAGAAGATGTGTACAGGGGGTTAAGTAGAGGAGGGGGTTTGAATCGCAATGTGGCGTTCGAACTTGGTTCCTAGCATATCATCTTGAAGAACAGCTGCTAATTCGGTTGGTGGTTCGACAAGCTCATGCATACCGTAGGGATAGACGAGACTGTGCTTCGAGAGCACGTCCGCGACTCCATTCCCTTCGCGGTAAGTATAAGCAATGTTGACCAGCCAATCCCTTCTCAGATTCTTGAGAATCATCGAAAGAAGGGTCGCGTACGGGTGTATAGGATCCATTCTATTCTGAATAAGCTATACGGCCAGCTGAGAGTCCGTCTCTACTTTGACTGCTCGGCAACCAAGCTTCCAAACTAGCTCTATCCCATAGTTGATGCCCCAAAGCTTCACTAGAGTTGTCTTGGTCGATCCGATCTTAGCCACGAACCCTCACTGCCCATTGAGTCCCTGACCACGCCTTCTGCCCCGACCTCGGCCCGGGGTTCCCGTTCGAAGCTCCATCGACATTCAGAGTGACCCATCCATCATGAGGAGGAGACCATCCAATGTCAACCCATTGTCGATCCACTGGCCACACACAGTTGTCGAGGAAAAGTGTCGGTGCATGCCACGAAACGTGCTAGAGTTTGGTCTTCGTAATAATGGAGTGCTCGAGGGTCGGGGGAGAGAGCACTGCGTTTATTCCTTGGAGAGCAGAAACACATGTTCTTTCTTGTAAGCCATGCTGCCATGATGAAAAAAGCAGGCCAGCTGATTCCCTCGGAAGTCGATCCGCCCTCTAAGAGATTCATCCGGAGCCATTCCTCCTGCGGGGCGCTGAAGAAGCGCTGCTGCTGCCCACTAGGAACTTGTTGGGACCAGAAGAAAAGAGCTTGGAGGCAGTCTCTAAGTATATGAAGGATATTCTCTGGATGCCCCGAGCACCTTTCGCAGAAAGGATTAGGCGCAATCTTCTTGTTGTATCGGAGTACATTAGTGACTATTTTTCCGGAGAAGGTCAGCCACATGAAGGTTCTGATCGGTTCGCCAGGAGTCTGCCAAATAATCTTCCAAAACTTCTCATCCGGGTCCTGCTGCTGATGAGCTAGGAAATAATTAGGCACCCTATTAAATACCTAAACTAAATAAAATGACACCCTAATAAATCCCTATGATTTGACTAATTTGGGGAAACCTCTCTTTTATATATAAAAAATAATATATATATATGGTAAAGGCTAGCGTACGTCAGGCATACAACATACGCCTGTGTTCACACTTGGTTTTTGCACTTCAATATATTCCGTTGAATCAGAACCTTCGGTTATTATTTTTTAGATTAAATGAATCTCGTGGCTTGGGTTAGAGAATTAGGGACTGGGGTTTATCCATTAGATGTTAGGGTATAGTATCATGCCCAAAATTTCGGTTAATTCCTGCTCTAAATAGTAAAACTCGAAGGGCGTACAATGTACGACTGACATACGCTAGCCTGAACCTATATATATAAAGTAATATAATAATAATGGTTTCCCTCCCTCTTAGTTTGCACTATAAAATGCATTGACAACATCAGTTGCAATTGTGGCAGACAAATTGAATCAACAGCAAATGATGGTGGGTATACTCAGAACCAACTTGGCTCAGACTCCCAACATACAAAAATAGATTACTGACAAACGCAGAATTGAAAGGAAATTGCAAGTGGGAGATAAGGCTTACCTCAAACGAAGACCCTACAGGCAGTCTGTTGTGACTACAAGAGCAAACTAGAAGCTGACTCCCAAGTTCTATGGACCTTTCCTGGGTTTGCAAAGGATTGATTAATGTGGTTGTGGCATACAAATGACAACTGCACACGAGTTTTTTCATCCACCCAGTATTCCATATTTCGTTGTTAAAGAAGGCTTTTGTTGATCAGTTGAGCACACAACCTACATTGTCATATTTGGATGATGTTGGAAGTTTGAAGATAAAGCCTTTGTTGATCTTGGCCAAGAATTTTGTACCCAGAAACAACCAGGCTGCGACACAAATCCTTGTTAAGTGGACTCACCAAAGGAGGAGGAGGCCACCTAGGAGTATTTGGACGACTTCAAACTCAAATTTTCAGAGTTTTAGACTTGAGGTCAAGTCTTTGGCGAAGAAGAGAGGAGTTGTAATGAACTATCCTCAAGTGTAAGAAATAAAGAAGCTAGAGGAGTTAGTTATGGGATTTAGTTGTAGTTGAGTCAGAAGAATAGGGAGTGATTGGTAATTGTCCAAATGGCTATAAAAGGACACGTGTAGTCTTTTGCTAGTTAACGATCAATAAACTTAACAACTTTTCCATCCCTTCTCTCTCTCTTCTCTGCCCCCCCCCCTCTTTCTAACGTCTCTCTCAATCGCCATGACCGTCTTTTTTGAGTTTCCACATCAAGACATTGCATCAAACCCTCTAACCTTTTTCATGTTGTCATCACCCCACCCCCATCTCTACTTGCGATTTTTTCTTCTTCAATCTGCAGAATCAACTCCTCCGATGACATCTCGAACGCGGCCAGTAGGTTTTGGTCGAACTCCTCCGATGAAATTGATTCAAACTTGTCCCCTGAAATCGACTCATGAAGGTCGTTAGGTTGCTTGGGGTACATTATTGGTTTGACGGATCAGAGCTTCTTCAAGATGTTCCCTTTCAATCCCTTCATTTTGACAGAGGTTGTTGCAAAGGTTCGACCGAAGAGATATGGTGTGGGCCGGTGGAGTGCTTTGAGCCGATTGCTCGGGTCTCATTCTGTCGGTTAAACAATCGAGTGGCTAGCTACCCGCCCGCTCGGTTCTTAGTAGGCGGCTAAATAACTTATACGAACCGGTTTAGTGTCCTAATTTAGGTTTTACTGGTCGAAATACCAATGTTATAAAGCATCGCAGAAGGGTTTCTGATATTATTACTAATAATTATCACCATGTAAGGTATCTAGTTTTTAGGATTACCGTTACCTATGTGCTTCGTTTTTTTGTCCCGATAGGCATAGTTAATTAGTTAAATATCATGTAAGTATGTTAACATTGAATTAACTTTATATATTATTTACTTAATACTCAGTCGACTGCTTTCACTGTGAATGGAGGAGTTGCCCGAGTGATTGGGTAAGACAATACAACACCCACATGCATAAGCCAACAACAATTCTCGAGACAGTGGCATCATACAACACATGAATATTACATGTTTTCTTTGAATCACCTGGATCGAAGATGACGATGGGCACTTGTACTGCTGGCTGTCAACTAGTGACAAAAATCGTGCCAGAAAATATCTCATCAATATTTTTATGCCCTAACTCCAATTGAGCATTTTCTCACTCTTGCTTACATTACTAAGTCAATAATTCCAATTGAGATGCATACACACGAATTGTAAAACAATTTTTGGAAGTTGTATTTTGGCTTGTTGGCTAATACTTTTTTTTTTTTGGGTGAAATTGGGTAATAATTTTACAATCAACAAAAGAATAATTTTCCAATGTTCTCTTTTTCGGAAAACCCTAAAAGAGTTCAAAAAATGAAACGAAAAGGAAAGCATAAGTCGGCGGGATAATTCCCGCCCGCCCCCGCTGCGTTTGAAAGCCACCTGACGAGGCGGGTTCCCCCTTTCAACCCGACCCGACTTACCCTTTTAATTCACTGTAGTTGTTGCTGTGCATTGTGCAACTCCTCTTCCCCACGCTCTCTCCCTGCCTTTCTTTCTTCGTCTCCAACTCCAGCCCAGGGTTTCAGAGCGCCGTTCGCCACCACTCTCACCCTCTCAGCCGCGGCCGCGGCCGTCCTTCACAGGTGATTTCTCTTCCTTCTTCTCCTTCTACTTCCCCTCTCGAACTCTCCAGATTACCTCCCCGCAACCTCTCTTCGCCCTATTCTATCACTGTGGTCCACTCCGCTCGATTTCCGATTCTGCACAGAAACTTTGAGCAGTTCGTCTCCAGTGCCCTTTTCTAATGCAGCTATCTCTCTGCCTGCTTGCTAGCTTTTGCTTTCTCTGGCCCGTGGTGTGTTCTGCATCGACACAAGGAACTGATTGACGGTGGCTCGCTCTTTTAGGGTTTTTGCTTTTTACATTTGGTAACTGTTGCTGTTAAGTTAGTCTGCTATAGAATCCTTAGCTTGAGTTCAGAACGCGCTTTAAGCCGATTGCTCCACTGCTTCCGCAAGTTCAGATGTATGAATATGATGACCAAGCTCCTAATGGTCTGTCTCTTGTTTTGTAGATCCAGATAATAAGTCATGGCAATGGAAGTCACCCATGTTCTTTTGAGTGCACAATCAATAGATGGGAATGTACGGAAGCAAGCAGAAGATAGTCTGAAACAGTTTCAAGAGCAAAACCTTCCTTATTTCCTGCTATCGCTCTCTGGGGAGCTAGCCAATGACGAGAAACCTGCGGATAGCCGTAAGTTAGCAGGTCTTATTCTCAAGAATGCATTGGATGCCAAGGAACAACATAGGAAGGTTGAACTTGTCCAGAGATGGCTAATGTTGGATGCTACCGTGAAGGCTCAGATTAAGTCCTGTTTATTGAAGACACTTTCTGCGCTGGAAGCTGATGCTCGATCTACTGCATCACAAGTGATTGCCAAGATTGCAGGCATTGAGCATCCCCAGAAGCAGTGGCCGGAGTTGATTGGCACACTCTTGTCAACTCTACATCAGTTGCCAGCTCATGCTAAACAAGCTACTCTGGAGACTCTCGGTTATTTTGGTGAGGAAGTTTCTCCAGATGATGTGGATCAGGAGGACGTGAACAAGATTCTCACTGCTGTAGTGCAGGGAATGAGTGGAACTGAAGTAAACAATGATGTCAGGCTTGCTGCTGTACGGGCCCTTCACAATGCACTTACCTTTGCTCAAGCTAATTTTAGCAATGACGTAGAGCGTGATTATATTATGAGAGTTGTCTGCGAAGCTACTCAATCAACGGATGTGAAGATCCGGCAGGCTGCTTTTGAGTGTTTGGTCTCGATTTCAGCAATGTATTATGAGAAGTTGGCCCCTTACATTGAGGAGATATTTAAGATCACATCAAAGGCAATGAAGGAAGATGAGGAGTCGGTGGCTCTTCAGGCAATTGAGTTTTGGAGCTCAATATGTGATGAGGAAATCGATATCTTGGATGAATATGGGGGTGATTTCAGTGAAGCAGGCTCTAGCATACCTTGCTTTTACTTTATCAAGCAAGCTCTTCCTGCTCTTGTTCCTCTCTTACTGGAGGCAATCCTGAAACAGGAGGAGGATCAAGATCAAGATGAAGGTGCATGGAACATTGCAATGGCTGGAGGCACCTGTCTTTATCTGGTTGCACGTACTGTAGGGGATGATGTTGTTCCGCTTGTAATGCCATTCATTGAACAAAATATCACAAAGGAGGATTGGAGACAAAGGGAGGCTGCTACTTATGCTTTTGGCTCAATCTTGGAGGGGCCATCCATAGAGAAACTGACACCCATCATTACCGTGGCTTTGAATTTCATGTTGACTGCCCTAATGAAGGATCCAAATAACCATGTGAAAGATACCACTGCTTGGACTCTTGGTCGTATCTTTGAGTTTCTCCATGGGTCGACAATTGATGCTCCTTTAATCACACAAGAGAATTGCCAGCAGATCATTATGGTTCTGCTTCACAGTATGAAGGATGCACCAAATGTAGCTGAAAAGGCCTGTGGTGCCCTTTATTTCCTTGCCCAGGGCTATGAAGATGCAGGGGCGTCCTGTCCTCTTACTCCTTGTTTCCAGGAAATTGTGCAGTCCCTCCTCACTGCTTCTCACCGAGAAGATGCATCAGAGTCGAGGTTAAGGACTGCTGCATATGAAGCTCTGAATGAAGTTGTGAGGTGCTCTACCGATCAAACTGCACATTTGGTTTTGCAGTTAGTTCAGGTCATCAAGGATGAGCTTATTAAGAGCCTTGAAGGGCAGGCAATTGTGTCAGAGAGAGAGAAACAGGGTGAGCTGCAGGGCCTGCTTTGTGGATGTTTACAGGTGATCATTCAAAAGCTGGGATCTTCAGAACAAACCAAGAATGCCTTGATGCAGCATGCTGATGACATAATGAGACTCTTCCTAAGCGTTTTAGGTTACAGAAGTGCAACTGTTAGTGAAGAGGCCATGCTAGCTATTGGAGCCCTTGCCTATGCATCTGGTCCAGATTTTGAAAAATATATGCCGGAGCTATTCAAGTATTTGGAGATGGGCCTTCAAAATTTTGAGGAGTATCAGGTTTGCTCTGTCACGGTTGGTGTTGTGGGTGACATCTGCAGGGCCTTGGAAGCTAAAATTTTGCCTTACTGTGATGGTATCATGACAGAACTCCTCAAAGATCTATCAAGCAATCAGTTGCATCGATCCGTGAAGCCTCCAATATTCTCCTGCCTTGGTGATATTGCGTTGGCTATAGGTCCAGATTTCGAGAAGTATCTAATGTACGCCTCTCCAATGCTCCAAAGTGCTGCAGAGTTGTCTGCACACACAGAAGGTGCTGATGATGAAATGATTGAGTACACGAATGCACTGAGGAGTGGGATTTTGGAGGCATATTCTGGAATCCTTCAAGGTTTTAAGAACTCAACCAAGACACAGCTCTTAATTCCTTATGCACCACACGTGCTTCAGTATTTGGACAGCATGTACAAGGGAAAGGACATGTAAGTAACAACAGCTATAATCAATGTTCCCCATCGACTTCCTTATTTACTTGTATGCACATACCCTGCTCTTTATGTAACTTGGAGGCACTTGGTTTCTTCTTATGCAGGGACGACTTGGTGATGAAAGCCGCAATTGGGGTACTTGGAGATCTAGCAGATACGCTAGGGAGCAATGCTGGTTCTTTGATACAGCAGTCTCTTTTCAGCAGGGACTTCTTGAATGAATGCCTGTCATCCGATGATGAAAACATCAAGGAATCTGCTGAATGGGCCAAGCTAGCCATCACAAAAGCCATCTCGGTATGAATGACAATGGAGGGAGGTTGCTGCTCGGCGAATTGACGTGCTCTTTCCTTAAGAGAAGTCTTACCAGCATTCGGTGTACCTGAGTAATTTTTGCGGGTTTTCTCCATCTATCTGCTCATTGAACAACAGTTTTCAGATGAATGTAGGCTAATGGACATCAGGTGTCTTCTGGTTTACAAGGTCCTTTTTCTCTCGTTGCTAGATTTTATCGTTTGGTTACTGGTCAATATGTCGGTCTCATCCACCATTTTATTTTGCTTCTGAGTCTCTTTCGTGGTTATGGCATCATTCATTGTAGTTCTTTCTATTTGGGTTTGCCTTCCAATTGCATGAATAAAGAGTAAGGGCGCATAATAAATCATTGCAAATCAACAGAGTTGTGCAGCTGCTACTAAGAAACTGCCTTTTTTTTCTGGGATACATCATCTACCACTCTGACTCTGCTACTGCAACAAACATACAGAAGTGGGGACGAAACAATGCGTCTTTGATCAGGTGAACTCTTCCTTCAAGTAATCAGGTCCAGGCCTGAAAGGATCAGAAACCTCGTAAGCCTCCGGCCGGTAAAACCCGGCATCGTTCATCCGGTTGCTGAGCACATGAAGGATGGCCTTCTTGTTCCCGCCGTACTCGTCTCTGTTCCGCTCGATGTACTCCGTCGCCTCCGCCGCGACCTCGTTGACGAACTCGTACTTGTTGTCTTCGTTCTTCATCAGCCACTCTATGTCGAACGACAGCATCTTCCCGTTTTCTCTGATCTTCCTCACTTGCTCCTCTAGGAATGGAACTCTCCCCAGTTTCACTCGCAGCATATCATCCTCTTTTGTCTGCAAACCAGAAAACGTGATCAAGCCACTATCTTTCGTTCAAGAATTCGTTAGTTGGAACTCTAAGATTCGCCGATTTGATCTCCGGTATGGGAAAACACAATTATCAACCAAATCATCAATTATTCTATCTTCAAAACGAGTCTCCTTTGGATCTTATCCTAAGTTCCTAACAGTTGCAGCTTTTTCTCGAATGATAATGACAAACTGAAAGCGGACTTTGGAAAGGAGAAAGTTAGGTACAGAGGTTTTATATTCGTACCAACTTCCTCCGGCGCCACACTTGCCGCCGATTTCTTGACTGCGCCGCGACCTGTGGCGGAGGAAGAAATGAAGTATCACTTTAGAAATCAGAGCAAGATACGGCGTAGAAAATTCGAGGAAGAAACGAAGATGAGAAGTGATTACCAGGTGGGGTTTCCGGGAGCTGGAGCAGATATTTGCTCCGAAGGGAGAAACCGAACTCGATGCAGAAAGAGACATTGCCGCCCGCCGCCGCGCCGGTGGGATTTTCGCTTTGTTCTTTCGGGTTCCGCCTCCGTTGGTTAGAAGAGCAGGAAGTGGAAAGCATTTGCTGCTTGAAATTCAAAAGGCAACCAAAAAAAGTGATTGAAAGTGGGCCGAATCAACGGATCCAGTAGAAAAGATTCGTCTTTCCTCCTCGGCCTGGCTCTGGCCCATTTCTAGTTTAAGCCCGGTAGTCCTGAAAACCTAATAACACAAAACGATGGTCGCAGGCAGCGTTGACTGTTTGGTTATTAACGGTCAAAGGAAGAATCCTGCGTGAGTTGCAAGTAAATGACGTCGTGTACCTAAATGGATGATGTGTCACATCTTTGTCAGGAGAAATCTGCTGATGAGCATCACCGGATCTCGTATCTCAAAAATTTGTTGTTACTTTTCTGTTACTCTTTATTATTATTTTTTTGGTACAAAGACTCTACTCTAGTGTACAAGGTTAGTGGCGTCTGCCGTCTGGCGTGTAATAATAATGCAGCAGACTGTGCGTCGGCTGCCGCCGAAGCAGCTGCAAGCAATGGGCTATTTCCATAGAGGACCGAGACAGAAAACCGGCACCTAGAACATCTTTGACCGTGAGCTCACTCCATTTCGTTAATCCAAAGTCAAATCGGCGTTTAGCATTTAGCAAGTGCATACCAATAGAATCTGGAGGATCATCTAGCCATTGGCGGTTTATGAAATGGACACTGGGAGGAAATATGAGCTAAGATAATGTGAAATTTTTATTCTACCAACAAAAGAGAAGAAACAAGGTTATAATTTTATAGGAATAAAGAAATTAGAGTTAGAATATTGATCCAGTTATATGGTAGAGACGATCTAGCAAATGAACGTGCAATCCAATCAGCTCTAACGTTCAACTTATTTGACGTTGCCTTGACCTTGATTTGAGGGTTCATTCTCAGGATTGAGACCATAGATCCTATCCAGAGTTCGAGCCTGCTCCCCACCATGACAACTTGGGAATTATTGGGAGAGTGCTTTGACTAATATTTGACACTTTGATTGAACCACACACACAATCATATTTGTGTGCTAATTTAATGCCCTCCAAAGGGGTTATCGTTTCTGCTTCAATCGAGGTAGAACAAAGGAGGGTATTAGCTCGCCCATCACACTCTTGTCCATGATGGTTAAGAGCCACTACGTCATATGTCATCGGTTGGGAGTCGTTTATGAACGACCATCATAGTGAAAGACCCAAGTGTGATTACTTGGCAGTGGGAAAGTAAGCGAATGGGCTCCCCTAGGCCAAGGAGGAGGAGAGTCGTGGAGGGGTATCATCGGGCAAGTCATCCACTCAATGAAGTCCGTATAGGTTTGCATACAATAATTGGGTGACAAGGTGCCCGATTCTTGAAAACACATTCATTTCTCACCTTCTAGATATTCCAGCATATGAAGATGATATGAATCAGGGAAGTTGCTATGGTAGCATCTTTGAGTGAGCAGAACAAGTCCACGAAAGTAGTAGCATGAGAAGGGAGAGGGGATGAAAAATGGTGTTTCGGGAGGTACTCGCATGACCACACGCGAAGACGCCATGGTGGAGGGACTCATTAGGGTTTTGGTAAACTGGTCAAGTCGAGTCAGGGGAGCATTTTTTTTATGGAGGAGCCTCTCCTTCATTGCCAGCTGACCATTTCTAGAGCACTTCTAAATGAAGAAAATGAGTTTAGGAGGAAGGTCTAAGCTCCAAATCCACTTCCATTTGTTAGTGTCTCCCATGGGTTGGGAGTTGAAGGTGGTCATATGTAGATTGTGGTAAGCCGTCTTGACTAAAAAGGTGTTTCCTTAGTAAGTTTCCAAGCCCAAAAGTCTTATGAGCTCTCTTCCCAATAGGAACCCTCAGTATAGCTTCTAGTTCAGAATTCGAGATGTGACCCTAAAAGAGGTGAGTATTCCATCTTCTTTCCCTAGGTTCAATCCATTCTCTGGCTTTTTCATGTTTCTGAGATCCACTCTCCTTGCTTATATTAGGAAGGAAAGGTATCAAAGGATCTTGATCAATCCATGTATCATCCCCTAAACCTATTACTCTTAAATTAATGACTTTCTTTGCCTCCTTGAGGCTTGTCCAAATCCATGATGGTTTGTTTCCTTTTTCAACCGACAGGAAGTTGCATCACGAGGATTAAAGTCATTTCAGAAGATGCCTCCAGAGGGAATTCGGGTTAGTAAGCAATCGCCAAGCTTGTTTGGCCAGCAGGGCTAGGTTGAAATCTCTAAAGCTTCGGAATACCAATCCCCCTTCTGATTTCGGGGCACATAGAATTTCCCTTCTTGGATTAGTGCGTACGAATCATCTGAAGAGTTTCTAAACAGTATAAGTCAACCATGTAATATGCCTTTTTTATATCAAGTTTGAGCATCATGTCTCTCCTTCTACCCAATTTTATGGTTTTTGAAGTGATGAAGGGCTTCATGTACGATGATCAGAGTAGTCAAAATCCCGATTTAAATCCTAAAATCCTACGGTTTTACGATTTTACTTACCTATTCCGATTCTGATTTCACTATAAAATCTATGGACCTTAAAATCCTACACTATTCACGATTTAAATCCTTAAAATCTTTAAAACCTAACGCTTTTACGATTCAAATCTTGAGTCAATTTTACATATTTCCCCCAGAATTTGCAAAATTACGCCTCTTTTTCTTCTCCTTCACCAGCATCATCTAGTTCTCTCACACTAATCACCATTGATTATAATCAATTCACATCAACGTATTAATCATCATCGATTCACCACCTCTTAACATTAACCTTGATAAATTGGAACATTAACCTTGAAAAATTATCATTGTAAGTGTTATGTGCTTTTGTGTTATTAATGATTTTCCTTACTAATATTATTTCGTCTTCATTTTTATATGTACCTTAAAATCCTACGATTTTACGATTCGATTTTACGATTCCGATTTTACCCCCATTTTCGATTTTACGTAAAATCCCGATTTTAACTGCTTTGACGATGATGATGTTATCTTGGAGGTTGGCCCCATTGAAAGAGGTTTGAAGTTCTTATACCAGAGAGGGGTCCACTTCTTGAGTCGGTAGCCATCATCTTTGAGATAATTTTATACTTAAAGTTGCATAAGTTTATAGGGCGGAATTGGCTAATAAGCTCCGGATGGTCGATCTTGAGGACCACTACAATGTGTGTATCATTTCATCCTTCTAGCATGGATGTTGTCTAAAAAAATCCCTAACCTCATTACATAGGGTATCCCCAATCGTGTCCCATAAGGGCCTATAAAACTTGATAGAAAAACCATCCGGTCTAGAGCTTTCCTAGCCCCAGGAGTGAGTCCTGCATTTTGGATCTCTTCATTATTCACTGTAGCACAAAGTTCCTCATCCATCTCTCAGATTACCTTTGTTGGAAATCCTTATGATTTAGCCTTGAACAAATCTTTGAAGAACTCTTATGTCATTCCCTTCAATCTAATATCGTCTTCTACCCAGTTCCCCACCTCGTATTTGAGGCAAAGGAATCTATTTCTATGCCTTCTATAGATAGTGCTGGAGTGAAAATGAGGTATTATGGCCACCTTATTGGAGCCATTTTACTTTAGATCATTGTCTCCAGAAGGATTCCTCATCAAGCCACAATTTTGAAAATTCCACTATGAGACTCTTCTCCTCCTCCAAATTGTCTTGTGTTCGAGGAGGTCTTTGTAGGATGCTATTGTGGAAGTCTTTCGACCAAGCCTTCAATTACCTCTCACACTTGTTTAATTGGTTAGTGAATAGACCACCTTAGTCTCAGGCTCTAGATACAATCTCCTTGCAATCCTTTTTGTTTATCCATCTCTCGCCAACCCTCCAAGGGGCTCTTCTTCTATTTCCTTTACAGTACTGGAGATCAATTCTAATTGGGCAATGATCTGATTCCACCATCTTTTCACAAAAAACAACCACTTCTCGTAATTGTGCTCTCCATGAAGTCGAGCATAATACTCATTCCAATCTTATTCTTATGATGTTATAAAATTTGCACTTGTAAGACCACGTGAATGGCTCACCTTCGAATCCTAGATCGATAAGGACATTGTCGGAGATTAAACTCTTACAATGTTTCACATTCTCGTATCTAAGAGGTCATCTCATCTCCTTTCCATGATCATAGATAGGAGCTTTAAAATCACATGCACGACCCCAATCATCCTCCTTACTTCTTCGAAGAGAGCTCAAGTGCTCCAAAAAATCCTTTCTACTAACTACAATAGTTAGGGTATGAACAAAAGTACCCAAAAAAACTTCTTACCCATATAGCAAAGCCCCTAGACGAGTTAATAGGTTCAACATAATCTCTGTTAGGGAAAATATTGATACTTCTTCTTTGTTCCTCCATGAAAGCTTAATTCTTGCTAGTTTCCATAAGAAAACTGTTGATATCGGGATTGTATCCGACACCGAGTTTTCTTTTATGTTGGGCACCGGAGTCGGTCGACGGCCACCTTTCACCTCGAACTTCTCTCGGAATGTTAGCTCTGATCGTCTCATGCGAAAAGGGTCTGTCGGCCGATCTCGACGGGGACACTCTCCGATGCTCAAGTTAGTGAGGGGGTTGAGTGGAGAGGAATATGACCTCAAATGAAAGATGAGGGAATGGAGTTGAGAATTAATATTTGCTCTAATCATTGCGAGAGTTCACGAGTCTAGGCATGGGAATTTTGTCTTACCTCAACCTGGAGACGAAGTGGCCTTTTATAGAGGCCTCCAGGCGAACATGAAGGGGGTACGTGTCTCCCTCAGGAGCTTGGTGGTGTGGAGAGAGGACACATCACGGGTAGGGGTGGAAATCGGTACGGTATCGGTATTCCAATACCAAATACCGAAATCCCGAATACCGAATTACACCCTAAAATCAATCTCAATCTCAATCCCTAAATAATTTCGGTATCCCAATCCCAATCCCTAAATAATTTCGGTATCCCAATCGGTACCTCGGTATCCCAATCGGTATTATCGAATACATAATTAATTACCTTTGCAATTAATAATTAAATATATAAATGAGATTTTATTGTTTA